AAATCTGAACATTTTGGAATTAAAAATTTTATTCTATTTCGTTTCCAATACAAAAATAAAAAACGCTAAAACTGAAATTTGAGCATTGATTTAATTTTCTTAAAGTAATATTTAAAAATTAGAAGAAAAAAAAATTGATCTATATATATCATGGTAAAAAACCAATCCTTTAGAAAAATTTTTGAGAGTTTGAATGTTATGCCCAAAATCTTTAGCCGGAGAGCGGTAAGTTGACGAATAAACACTATGTTTGTTAAAGTAAAATCTATGATAGAAGAGGAATTGAAAAATACAAAGTTTATTTGCATGACAGCTGATATTTAGGAAGGAGAAGCTTTTTCATTGTAACTATGCATTGAATTTTATATAATTTTGAATGAAAATCCGTGCCATTGCGCATGTCGTCAGTTTAAAGAAATGCAATTCTTTGATAAGATTATTAATCTATTAGAAAATATATATAAAATTCCACTTGACTCCGCAAAAAAATTGTCGCCATTGTTATTCGCAATGCGAGCAATTTTTCGAAGGCATTCAAGATGTTTGGAATTAATAATACATCAATTGGGATGGAAAATGAAATAAAAGATATATCTTATAATAAAGATATAAGGTGGATAAAGAAACAGAAGAAGAAACAGAAGAATCAATAGAAGAAGAAGAGGAAGAAGAAAAAGGACAGGAGAAAAAAGAAGAAAAGCATTCATTGATTACTTTCTTCCGCAACATCTTCATTACTCAATTCATATATTAAATTTATGTATTTATGTATTATGTAACTTTAAATATGATATTGACCATCCAAAAAAACCAAACATTTTTCTAAATGCATAAAAGTTTGATGGAGAAATGCAACACATTTGAAAAGTAGTAGGAAAATCAAAGTCAAAATGTGTCTGTCAAAAATGTGATTGATCATACTTTAAAGAAACCATACAAGGTACGTTGGAATTCTGTGCATGATTCTACTATGGCCAGATAATATTATTTAAAAAAAATGAGTGAAATATATAAAGTTCTTAATATTAAGAACAATTTCCAAAATAATGACATAATATACATCGAAGAACATCTAAAATGTATTATATCGATCGCTGAAGCAATAGATATATTTATAAAATAAAAAACATGTGTTTCATGGGTTATTTTATCGATAAGAAAAAAATTAATAAATTTGATTGGTAAAAACTAGTTATATTGTAAGCCAATTTGTTGTAAAGTGTGGATTCAAAGAATTTTTCATTTTTACAACAGATGAAGCAAAAAATATTGCAATATCAATATTATCCCTATTTTAAAAATAAATTCGTATGTATAGAAAAATGTTAACGGAATCAAATAATAAATAAATTTAAGAAGAAAATAATTCAAATAATAAAGGAAAAATCGGCGATTAATCTATTACCAGCGACTGTAATCCGAAATCCGATGGTTTTTTTCTATTCTATTTCTGAAAGAATCAGATCGAAATCGATGACGAGATAAAAGCAACATTTCAAATCAGTGATCTTTTGTTGAATAAATATTGAATTCTATATATTTTCATTTGTAATTCTAATTTTTAAACATTTTATTTATTTTATTTTTAAATATCATGATAAAAGAAAGATTAGATATTGATTGGAAAATACTCAAGAAAAATTCGAAAGTGAAAAAAAGTCTTCTTTTCACGAGGTTCTTCTTGTACAACAATGACAAACATTATAAAAAACAATTGACTTTACAATAGTAGTGATAATATATTCAAAAAATGTGTCACTTTAAAAGTTAATTTAAAAAATTATGAATCGTATTATGAATGGTGAAAAAACAAAATTCTTGATAGAATAAAAGAGAAATAGAAAATGGTGATATGGGTTTTATATTAATTTTAATAATTTATGTAATACATTTTTCTTAATATTAAATTATATCTTATTTAGAAAAGAAATAAATTCATTTTTAAACGAAGGTCTTCTTTTAAAAATGAAATATAATTTTTTAAACATTTCGCAGAACGAACTTGTATACTAAAATAGAAATTTCAATATACTTTTCTAAAATTTTCTGAAAATCTAAAACAATAAAAACAATAATCATAGATATAAACGATTCAAGTTGTTCATGAAAAATGCAAAAAATATGCAAAAATATCCATGGACAATTTAAATGAAAGTTTGATTTGATATCAAATTCTTTCTTTATGTAGAATTAAAGCGTATACTGACAAAAAGTTATTTATTATTATATGGAAGTAATTTATTTATGTATAGAAAATAAAAATAAATATTTTCAATATTTTATTGTTATTTTTTTAAAAATTAATTTTTAAATCGTATTTTTTCTGTTTTATAATAGTTTTATATATATTATTTTTATAAAGTTATATAAATATTATATATTTTATTATATATTAAATATTACATATTATATATATTTTATTATTTTAAAATACGAATAGTTTTTAAAAAAAATTTAAATATTTAGTAGATGAACGAAAACAGATATAAAAACATATAAAGGATGTTTGTCGTATATTATATATTAGACAAACATTTTTCAAAAAATGTTAAGTTTTTTGAAAAAATTCAACAAATTAAGAAGAAGCTTTAGTTTTTTTATGATGAAAATTATATAAATAAATGTATAATAAAATTTTTTATTATGTTTTTTTATAATGTCATTTTTTTCAAAAATCTATCATTTTTCAAAAAAACACTATCTCAATATAGCATCAACACATATGTATATATAGATATAATACAGAAAATTACACTAAACAATTTTTATATATTATTAATTATAATAATAATATTTAATAATATTTCATATTTTAATCATATTATGAACCAATAATTAATCAATAAATTAATTTTATTGATTATGCATATATAAAACGTTGGAAAATTAATTGTTATCGCAAAAAATATTAATAAAATTATATTTGGTAATTTATAAAATAAAATTAATAACAAATACAAAAAATATAAAACATTAAGATAATAATTTTATACAGTTATGATAATTATATTATATTAACTATAATATTAACTATTGTTAGATTTATAAACAATAAATAAAAAAAATTTTATTATTATAATTTGTTCATCAAAAAAATTAAAATTTGTTAAAAAAAAAAAGAAATGAATTTAAATTTCATAAAAAAATAATTTTTTCAAAAATATTTTTATATAGATTAATAAATTTCGAGAAATAAAATATTCTATTCAAATTTTTAAATATTTTATTGTTTTATTTTGAATATTTTTTATCATTTATAGATATTAGAATAAAAAGATAATATAGATTAAAAAAATTAATTTCTTGTTTAAAATAAAAAAACAAAATAAAAAAATAAATTGCATCTAAATTCTTATGATTTAATGAATAATTGTGCTAAGTTTCATCAAAATATTACTCATTTTTTTCTTTGTCAAAAAAAAAAAATTGTACAATGTCAATAAGTATAATAATGTTCTGTATCGCAATTTCATCTATCTATCATAATAAATTAAGAAATAATTTTAATAACAATAATAAATCTAACAAACATCTAGCAAAACTGCTAATTTTTTGAAAGGTCTATGTTGTAAATATATATTATAACTGTAAATAAATACAATGTTTTTAAAGATAATATAATATTTTTAAAAATTATTTAAATAAATATGTATATATAAAATACAAAAAGAATCATATAATAAGTGAGATTCTTATTCTACGTAAATAAATGTATTAAAAATAAATATAATATATTTAATAACTTGATTTTATAAACAAAAAGAGGCAATAATTTGAGATTCTTAAGTAAATAAATGTATTTAGAAAGAAAAATCGATAACAAAAATTGATTTTATAAAATAAAATTGATTGTAATTAATATGAATAAAAAAATTAAACTTATTCTATGTATATTTATTTTTGTCTACATAAATATGTAGAATTTTGCTTACTAAATTTATAGAAATTAACTAATCGTCTCTCTATTAATTATCGTAGTGATTCATTTCGTTATAAATATCCATTTTTGCTCATCTTACAAAAAGACATATTTTTCAATAAATATGAATTCTAAAGAAACACACATCAATTACAAATTAATTAATTATGATGTTTTTATTTATAAAAAATTCGTGATAAAGAAAATTATATAAAAAGAATTTGATTTAATTGCAATTTGATTTATTATCTTATCTTTGAAAAAACGTCAACGAAAATTAAAAAGTGTATGAATTTAATTATTATCAATTCGAAATAATTTCTTCATATTTTTTTCTAAAATACATTTTTAATAACAGATTATAAATTCATTGTTAATAACATTATATTTATTGAATATAGGAACTTGATATCGCATATTTTTAAAGATTTAAATATAATATTAAATCATAAATAACTAAATAATTGTAATCATAAGTAATAATTAAAAATTTAAAATACATCTATATATGTTTTAAATTATCATTTATAAAGTTTTTATTTATAATAATTTTTATTAATAATAAAAGAAAATAACTGTAAATTATGTACGTATATGTTTCATTTTTCTATATCTAATTTCACGAAATACTAAATTTATTATAACTATTACATTACTTTAAAAAAATAAAAGTTCTGTAAAAAAATCTAATTTATTTTTACATTTATAATGTAATATATAATGTTAAAAACATTTATACATTATATTTATATTACATTTATAATGCAAATAAATAATTACACAATATAAAAACGTATTATAAAATTTTAATTAATTCTAAATTAATTCTACTACGTTCCAAATCTACTGAAAGAACTTTTACTTCCACACGCTGACCTATTGAAACTGTAAAATTTTTTAACCATTTTGTTGGTATAAGTCCATCTTTACCTGTTCCAATATCTACAAATGCTCCGAAATGTGTAATATTCCGTACTGCACCTGTTAATAACATATCCACATTTATATCATTAATATGTAACATACTTTTTCGAAATAGAGGAGAACAAGTTTTCAATCGTATATCCTCATCTTTTTTCATAGATAAACCCTTAATTATTATTTCCATAGTTGTTTTATTTGTACCAAACTTTTCCGCCAAACTAGTAAATCCTTCTTTGGCATGCAATTTTACTTTTTCAATAAACTCTGTAGTTCCAAGATCCTTTAAGTTAATATTACAGAACTTTAAAAATTTTTCTGCTATTTTATATGATTCAGGATGTATCCAAGTCTGATCTAATAAATTATATTCTGTTTTGATTGCCTGCTTTGACTTCTTAATAGGCCTGAGTTTTTTTGAATTATCAATCATTGATGTTTCTGGCAATATTCTAATAAATCCGATACATTGTTCAAATACTTTACTTCCAATTCCTTTTACATCCATTAATTGTTGTCTATTTCTAAATGGACCAAATTCAGATCTCCATTCTAAAATATTATTTGCTCTAGATACATTTAAACCTGCAACTCTTTTCAAAAGACACTGTGATGCAGTATTCACATCTACTCCTATAAAACTTACAACTTCTGAAACAACCTGTAATAATTTTTGTTCTTTTTAATTATTGTATAAATTGAATTTCATAAATTTTATTCATCAAATTCATCAAATTTTATAACTTATAAATAAATAATATAAATTAATTTCCTTGCCTCATTTAATGATGTTAATAATTGTTTCTCTGGTAAATCATGCTGATACATTCCTACACCCAAATGTTTGGGTTCTACTTTTACTAATTCAGCAAGTGGATCTTGTAAACGTCTCGCTATAGAAATAGCAGAAATTAAATTCATATCTAATTTTGGAAATTCAGATTTTGCTTCTGGACTACAACTGTAAATTGATGCTCCTGATTCATCAACTATCGCATATGAAATATCTAATGATTTAAATGAATTAGACTTTATTAGTTTGTTTATAAACATTTCTGTTTCTCTGCAAGCTGTAGCATTGCCTAATGCTAAAATTGTCGCTTTATATTTAGTAACTAAATTTATTAAAACATTAGCAGATTCATTATAAGCCTCTTCTTTATTTTTATGAGGATAAATTACACCTGTTTCAAGTACATCTCCCTGTTCTGAAATTACTGCTAGTTTGCAACCATGTGAAAATCCTGGATCTATCCCAAGTATAATTTTTCCACGTACAGGTGGAGTAAGAAGCAATTGTTTAACATTATTTACAAAAACTTCAATAGATGCTATTTCTGCTTTTCGTTTCATTTCACTTCTTACTCGTCGTATTACTAATGGTTTAATAAATTTTGTATAAGCATAATCAATACTATCATTTAATAATTTAGAATGTAATTTTGATGCTGTCATAACTATCCTATAATATTTATAACAATAAGTTTTAAATTCTTTTTCAAAAGAATCAGGTAAAATTATTTTTATTGTAAGAATCTTCTGTGCTTCTCCACGATTAATAGCCAGTATCTGATGAGGTTTAATATATCTATTATTTGTATTAAAATCATAATATGTTTCATATTTTCTATGCATATCTTTTTCTTTGTTATCAACAGATTTATTTTTGGATTTACATTCTGTAGATTGTATTTTTATAATAGATTCACTTTGAAGTTCTTTAACTTTATCAAATACTGTTTTATTTTTATTTATAATATCTGCTATAATATGTATAATTCCATCTAAAATCTGTTGTTTAGTTTTAAGTCCATCTTTCTTAGAATCAATAATAGAAGGTAATGGTGGTAATTCCTGACCTTGCAATATAAGATCACTTATATGTCCCAAACCTAATTCTTTTGCTTTTTCTGCTAATGTTCGTTTAGATGATGGCTTAAATAAAGAATATATATGCTCTAAGTCATCCAAACATTTGGCAGATATAATCGCAAAATGTACATCAGGTGACCATTGTCCTAATTTGTCAATAGCTTTCAATATAGTATTAGCACGTTGTTTGATCATTTTGGCATGATCAAAACTTTCTTTTAAAACTCTTAGCTTATCTGGTTCCATGCCACCAGTCATATCTTTTCTATATCTTGCAATAAATGGAATTGTATTATCATTATTGAAAAGCTTTACAATGTTCTCTGCTATATGTTTTTCAACATTATTCATTTCACTAATATAATCTATATCAGTCCATTCTTTAAATTCTGTAGAATTAAAATTTATATTTTTTAATACTTGTTTAATATTTTCTGTATTAAAATCTTGTATTTCTTTTTCTTTTATTTTTATATTATCATTTTGTATCTTTTCTAAAGCTGTTGATTCTGTAATATCTATATGTTCTATTTTTACTTTCTCGTTTCTAAGTTGTATTATTGTATGTTCATTACCACATGTCATTGTCAAGTCAGTTATTTTTTTTTTTTATTTTTTATAATTGATTTTTTTTTTTTTTAATTGTTTTGGATACTTTTTCAGGTACATAATTTTCGTCACTTGAAATATTTCCAAATTCATTTTCAGAATCGCTTGAAATAATTACTTTTACTTTTGTTCGAGATATTTGTCGTGCATTTCTTTTCATTATAAAATTTTTTTTAAGTGATTGGTAAATATTTTGATTTCTTAAAGAAATATTAAAAATATAAATTAATGATAAATATCATTAACAATTATACATTGAAAAATTTAAGGTTAACTATTAAATATATGAAATATACGAAATTTATATATTTCTCATTTTTTTTTAAATCTTTTATTCGGAAATGAAATTATTATATAAAATTATTATGAAAATTATTATGAAAATTATTATGAAAATACAAAATTTCTATAAATTTATAAATGACTAATTTTCTAAACAAATTTGTATTTTTATATTACTAATCTTTGAAAATGAGCCTTAAGTCAAGCCTTTACATGTTTAGATTAATCTTGGATTGAAAAATTTTTAATATTTTTTTGAAAATTATATAAAAATTATATAAAAATTATAAATAAAATTATAAAATTATAATATAAAATTTTTTAAATATAAATTTTAAATTTCATATAGTTTAATATACAGATTACTTTACACATTTCATGAATGCTTTTATTAATTTTGTATTTATATTTAATTAAAAATTTTGTATTTATGAAATAATAATTATTTTTGATATTTATGATAATATTTAAAAAAATTATATTATTTAAATTTAATTTACATTTTGTGTTGATTCTAAAAATATAATAATTAACAAGCATAAAAATATATAATAATAATAAAAAATGAAATTATTTAATTTTTTATTGTAAATTTTATATAATTCTGATATATAAGCAAATAAAATGGCAGAAAAATTTCGATCACTGATCAAAATATTAAACAATAAAATAAATAAACATCACTTATTTAACAATGCAACAATGAAAATTAATATTGCTTCTGAAAAAAGCACAAAAAAAGTTGAATAATATACAAAGTACTGTTGCTACAAAGTATGATATTCTAGCAAAGGTATGTTATTTATTTATATTTTTATAAAATTATAATATATATTTAAATATAAATTCCTTAATATTATTTCAGCAAATCAATCGTGATATTACATTAATTCAAAATATAAATGGAACACAATTTGAACCAAATCCATTACCAAAAAAAGTTGTCAAATGGTGGCAATGGTATCAACAATTAACAGGCTTAGATAAAGTTGAATTAGCCAAAGAACAAGTAATTTTTGCGCAAGATAAATTATTCAAATGTCAAGATGAGAGAAGACACTTAAATCGTGAAGCAATGACAATAAATGATAAATTAAAAGAAGTATATTCAGAATTAATACAAATTAAGAGAGATGATCCAAAATACGTTCAATTGACAATAATAGAAAATAAAAATCTTCAAGATCAAGCAAAAATTATATCACAGCTTAATTTATTAGAAAAAGAAGAAAAAGATTATTTTACATTATTGGCTACTGCTATTAAAGAATATCATGATAGTCAAACAATGAATGCTCAAAAGTATAAATATTTATCTATTCTTGCATCTGCTATATTAGCAATTATATCATTGATAGGTTCAATGATATACAATAATAAAAGAATAGCAAATATTCAAAATATTATATATGAAGCACAACAAAAAAATGAAAATCTATTGAGAAATAGCTTTCATTCATTAGAAAAAGATATAAATACAACTTTTAATAAATTAGTAGAAAATAATAATAGAAATATAAGTACAACTTTTCACAAAATAATAGAAAGTAATAATATAGTAGAAAGTAATAATAAACAAAATGTAACTATGGTTAATGAAAAATTAGATGATAATAATACAATAGAATTAGCAAGAGCTTATATTGTATTTGGATTATTTGTTGGTATATATATATTAAGTTCTTTAACTCGATAAAATTACTTTATAATTAATAATAATTGAATTAATTATAAATATATTATAATTAATAATAAATGAATTAATTATAATATAATTTTATTTGAAATAATTTTTAATAACAAGCATTTATTTATTTGTAAATGTTCTATAAATATATATATATAATACATATGTGTATATTTAATTATATACAATAAAATAAGAAATACATTATACACATGCATCTAATTGGAAAAATGTATTTAACTGAAAAATCTTGTTGCACAATTTAATCATATTTAATACATTTAATTTTTTATTTTTTATATAAGGAAGAAAAATTACAATTTTTTCAGGAAAATACACATATATCATATATTTAATGAATTGGATAAATATAACATGATGTTTTTATAGATATAATTGTTTAATTAATTTTATTTTTAATATATGATTTTATTAAAAGTAAAATGAAATTGTTGGGTTAAATAATAAGCAATTTGAATTTTAATTACATGAACTATTTTATGTATTCCAAGGTTTCCATTCCATACCATCTGGTAATTTTACCTCAACTTTACCTTTGCTCACTTCTGACCAATTTGTACTTAGCACTGTACCACCAGACTCTTGCTATTTTTAAAAATATTACAATATTAAAGTAAATATAATATATTTATTATATATTTTTTGAAAAGAATTTACTTACAAAAGATTTATTCATTGCACGTCTAACTTCGTCAGACCCACTACCATATATCTGTTGAAATAAAGCATATAGAGCAGCTTCTCCTATTGGATTTTCTTCTGCTTCTTGTTTTTCAATCTCTTTTTCTACTTTATCCCAATCTCGTTGTTTCTTTCCACTTCCAGTTTTTTGTGGCTGATTTCCAGCTTGTAAAATTTCTTAAAAAATTAAAATTTTATTTTAATATAAAAATTTTTAATATAACATCAAAAACTTTACTTTACCTCTTGGTATATGTTGTATTGTCTTTTGTGCAATTGGATTTCCTTCCAAAGTAGTCCATGTAATTCCATCTTGTTTTTTCAATTTAATTTCTATTTTAGATGGATCTACTTTATGTGAACATTCTTCTGGTATTATTGCATGAGCCAAATCTAACTCCAAACTATATTCATTGCCTGATGGTAGTAGAGCAGATACACTTAACTAAAAACAAATAAAGAATAAAATAAAATTAACAATCAAAAGATAAAGTTTTCACGTTGACAATATTTATTTAGAAAAATATTATAAAAATATCTTAAATTAAATATTTACTGTATTTTTTTCGTAAATAACTTTAACATTTTTTGCACTTTTTGCAAGAATTGGAACTATAACATGACTTTCCGTTTGATACCAATCGTGCCTTATTTTTGGAATTGGCATCTATAAAAATCAAAAATTTTTATCTTACATAAAATATTGATATAAATATATTTATTTATTGTATAATATTTAACCACTTTCTTACTTCATTATTATTCACTACAGTCGGAGTTTCCTCGTTACCCATTAGATCAATTTTTGTAATTAAATATCAAACACAAATCATTGAAAGATTTGACACATTCATGTATATCGTACTTCTCGAAAGTTCATATAGATGATACAAATCAGGAGCGTAATAAGTAATGTTGTAATAAAGCAAATTTAAAATTTTTTATGTTTATAAGAATAAAATTTTGTTATACATTTAAATTCTTATTCCTCTTATTATTTGTTATAAGATGTTGTCAATGAAAATATAAAGTAAGTCATAATAAAAATAAATGACAGTTATGTTCTAAAATAAGTTACTTTTTATAGATCACATAGAAATTGAACCAAAATATTTTTACTTCCGGTACGAGAAATGGAAAAAAAATTAGTTTTCTGAACTGTTCGATATTTTGAAGAATATTTGAGAATTTAAATATAGATAAATATGATATATTTCCAATATAATAAGAAGTGAAACAATATTTTTTAAAAAATGAAACTATTAAGAGCGATTATTGATGATGTTATCATAGAACCATCTAAAGTTCAACCAATTATTGGTATTGTATTTATATTTATTAAAAATTACAATACTATTTAAAAGAATGCGTTTAAATCTTTTTGAAAAATAAAATTGCAAAGTAATATTTGTTATATATAATTTGTATGTATTTTATAATTAAGATTGTCAATTGTTTTTTTAAATTTATTTTTAAAGTATAAATAATTTTCATAATTTATATTGTGATTTATGTTTATATTAAGAAAATAATTATATTACAGTTAATTTTCAAAATGGAGAGCTCAAAGATGAGGAAGCCAAAAAAATGTCTTGTGGATTATTTTATGATCAAAATAAAAAGAAAACAATGTTGGCTTTATCAAATCAGCAAATTGTTTATAGAGGTTATAAACCAGATACAACTCAAGATTTGATGCGTACTATGCTTGTACTTCATAATAAAAAAACAGGAAAAGCAAGATTGGTTCAAGTTGAACGTTGGCAAGTGACTCCAATTTTGGAAAAATCAGCAATTAAGGATAATAGACAAGCTGAAGATGAAAAAATTGCTATGTTGAATAAACAATTTGGTTCAAAAAAGGTGAAAAGAAGAACAGAACAATTTGAAAGATTAAAAATAAATGTAGAATCTATTAAAGAACAGCTTGAGCAAACTGTATCTAGTGAGGATTTATTTTTATAAATGTTCATATTTTTATATTAATCTCGGTTAGAGAAGATAAAATTGAAATATGTTTTTGTTATAGATGTTGAAATTGATAGAATGGAATTATCAACACAATTGCCAAATAATGAATATATTACAAATATAACTTTGCCAGAATGCAACAGGGAAGCTACTAATGTAAACGATGTATATAACATATATGATATTATACCAGAAAATAAATTGGAAAATTTATATAATAATGTTAAGGAAATATTAAATAACAATTCTAATACTTTAGAAGAGTATGTTTGTTTTAAAAACATCATTCAATATCATTTTTTCAATATTGTTATTAATTTTATTAAATATTAATTATGTTTAATAAAATATTTAATAATTTAATTAATTATATTTTGTTATTTTAGAAATTCGAAATTTTTTATTCGAACATTACAATACTTGAAATCTGATTCAGATAATCTTCAAAAAACTACATTATTAATTTATATTCAAGCAATTGCAACATGGTTAAATATGCCAATTAAAGATGCTAAAAAACGTGGTATTAAAGTTTGTTTAGTATCTGAAGAAATTAATTCATATATAATAGACACATACAGTGTTCAAAGTAATCATGGACGGTATGTAAAAAAATATATATATATATAATAAAATAATAATATAATATATCTTTAATAATTTAATAAGTAATTTTTAGGCTGAGGCCAACTAGTGTAAAAGATAAAGGAGTGATACATTGTATGATATTAGCTTTAATAATTTGCAACTTTACATTAGATTTGGAATTATTTGCAACTATATTCAGTCACCGTATGGGTTTAAAAAAATTGACAGATCTTGCCAGAATTATTGGTGCTTTACCCAATAAAGAAGATAAAAAAATTGTCACTTTGAAAATACCATTACCAGCACCAGTGTCTATTATAAAGAAGGGAAAAAGAAAATAGATATCAGATATAATTTTATTATTGTAAAACATTATTTAATAAAGAACGAAATTATTATAAAAAATGAATTTATATAATAAATTTATATTTAATTGAATGAAAAACATTCTTTTCATAATCCAACAATTCTTTAATACTTTTAAATTTTAAATTTTCCATTTTACAATTTTTTCAAAATATTTTTAAATATTTTGATAATCTTCTTTAAAGAAATGAATAGTGCTTGAATATCAATAATGATTAATGTGTATTTTAGAAATAATTCTAAATAAAATAAATCTATAATTTCGTTAGTAAATCATTGATATAAATTTTAAGAAAGAAAGACAGAAATACAAAGATAATTATATTCAAATAATGATAGAAATTTTAAAGAAAAAAGAGAAAGAATAATTGAAAGATATTAGTAAAATTCTAAAACATCTAGTTTGCGTTAACGGAGGATAAGCTCGAAGAAACTGGCACGTTGGCCGGCCCTGAACAACTCCCTGTAATGTGGGTCGTCGTCTAACTGTTCCACGTACCGTTCTGTCGACTCTGTGCCGTTCATTAGTCAGATTCAACTACTCTTCTTTCTTACCTCCACCATCTAACCGTGAAATACATTAAAATATATCATTTTTTTTCTTCCTTTCTTTTTCTTATTGACAACTATAATATATACATTAAAGAATATTTCTATAATTGATATATTTTAGGAAAGAATTTTTCTACATTGATGTATTCTAAAAAATCTTAAAAAGTTGTATTTGTTTCTCATGTTACATTTTTTTTTATGAAAACAAAAAACAAATTTTTTTAATATAATATTAGTTAGTGAATTATTTTTTTTACTGAATTAATAAATTTATTTTATTTTATAAAAATAATTAAAAAAAAATATTAATTGAAAAACATGAAGAATGATTAAAATTTAACAAAGTTTATAATAAACATTAAAAAAACCAAAAATGATATTTATATCAATATATCAATATATTATAAATCATTTAACAAAAATATCTTAAAAAAAATATAACTTAATTATTTATGAAACTTAATAGAATTTATTTATTATTTATTCAAAAATATATTATAAATTTAAATTTTTATCAATATCTAAAAGTTTTCTAAAAATTTATATATTATTATTTTATATATCACTAATTTATTAATATCAATTTATAAATTTTTTATAAAAAAAATGAAAATTCTTTTAAAAATTTTAAAAATAGATTCTTTTTAATTTATATATCAGTCATCAATTTAATACAATACAATATAATACAAAATTAATAAAATAAAATAAAAAAATAAAAAATAAAAGTTAATTTTTTTCACAATTTTTGAAAATCGAAGTCATAAAAATTCATTGATTCATTATACTTTCATTCTGAAGGAGAATCTTCCGGGATTCCGTTTCCTTCTCTGGATCTGTCCTGTTCTTATAAAATACATTTCACGTTCCTTTATGTTTCCACCTCTTCGTCTTACTGCTACCATCTCTGATGTCTTCCTACTGTCACCTGGTCGTTGACGCATCTCAGTCGATCTGTGACCTTCTACTAGGATTGTAAGTTTTCATGGTTTCGTCGTACGTTCTATTCACCTTCATCGGATTCGCGATTTTAATTGCTTTCTTTGTGAGTAAAAACCGAAAGTGACGAACTCAAGGATAATTAGAGTTTATTTACATGGAGTTTTAAATGCTTGGGAATTCTAGTTCTGAGATCAGTGGAAAATATCCACCTTCATTTTATTATTGGATTCAGGTATTTTATTATTGGATTCATGATTTATTTTTTAACTACATTAATATTTATTATTTTTAAAATAAAAAAATATGTTAGCTGATTAATTTTTAAAATTAATTTAAATAAATAATTAAATTTAAAATTTAAATAATTTATTTTTTTATTAATTTTTGAATTCTTGAATTAATTATAAGTCAATTCGTTTTTTTTCGTTATAATTTAAATAATTGCACCTTATCACATATTATAAAATATTATTTAAAAAATATTTTAAAAAATAATTATACATATGTATATTATATAAATGTTAAATATGTATATTTATATAGAGGTATAAATATGAGAAAATTACATAATATGAATCATTTTGAATCATTTTAATCCATCTTTATGGAAAATTATAATTCCAAGAAATCTATATTTCTTAATTCTTTTCATAAATCAAATAAAATAATAAAAAATTACATTTAAAAGAACTTGTTTCAATCAAACAATTTATAAAAAAAAATTAAAATATTACAAGTTATATTTAAATAATAAATTTTGCTTATGGAAATTGCAAGTCTTTTCATCATTATATATTTTCATCATCATAAATCATAAATCAGGATGAGAATAAAATGTATATAATATTCCATGATTTTCTTATAAGCATAATATATAATTAAAAAAAATAATATATATATATATATATATATATTCTGCAATCATAGTACCGTTATATGTAATTAGGGCGAGTTTGCGGTATAAAACGTTACAAACCGTTTCACATATATATATAATAAGCATCATGTTAAAATGTATTAAAAAAATTAAATTTTAAGAAAACGGTATTTTTTGCATTGCATTTTATTGTAAACAATTTAATTAAAAAATAAATAAATAGATTATTTGATTATCTAGTATATTAATATTATCTTGCTTGAATAATAATTACAATTTTTAATCAAGAAATGATTGATAAAAGAAAATAAGATTCTTTAAAAAAAAAATTAAAAATAATTGAAAATAAATCTTTTTATTAAAATTAAAGATTTATAAATCATAGAATAATACAAATTCAACAAAGATTTTGATTTCTAATTAATGTAAAATTAAACGCTTCATTAATTATATAAAAAAAAAGGATTAACAAAGGATTCTTTATTTTCAAAATAATTGATTGAAATCACAATAAACCATTCATAATAAAAAATATTATAAAAGAGAAAGAAAAAAAAGAAAAGAATATCAATAATAAATGTTATATATTGATGACGGATGTTTCACGGATCTGATACAATTCTCAAGAATAAAACCTCTAAAACTGAGACAGTTAAAATAGATCATTCCGATGAATAGTATATATATATTTGTGTTCTGTATATCAGTATCAATTACTGAGTTAAGAGGCGATCATGGTCACGAATATTTTAAAGATGAATATTATAATCACAGAAAAATCTTGGATTTAAAATAGAATATAAAATTGCTTGAATTCATTGAATCTGTTTGTGTTCTTTTCTGCTATTTAACCAATAATAAAAACGATAAGATTTGTTTATTTTAATTTTTTTTATTCTAGTTTGCCAATACTTTTCTATAATTAGATCTTCGTAATGTTTAATATATTCAATAATAAATTTTTTTATATAATATTTATGTTAACAAAAATTTTATATTTTTATAATTTTTAATTAGAAAAAAAACGAAAATCAATTATACACAAAGTGGATCAATTATTATAATATTATTATAATACTTTTATTAAAGTAATTTATAATTTATAAGCAGGATTATAAATAAAAGAGAGCAAAAAAAGTATATGAATTCTTTTTATTTCAATTTTTTAAAATTTTTTTTCAAACATGATTTTTTTAGTTATTTAAATTATTTAAATTATAAAATTTAATATTTTGTAAATATGAAATAGAAAAAATGATACATAAAAATAATAATATTATTAAATAACAAGAAAAGATATTTTTCATCAATAATTAAACAAAACAATTTTTGAAAAACAATCATAAAAACATTTAAAAAAATCAATATATATATATATATATATATATATATATATATATATAT